TTGCCTTTTTTTCTAGCTTTTCTTAGTGTGTCTTGAATAGTCTTTCTTTCTCCCCTCCTCCCTCTCCTCTCTCTTTACATATAAACAGCCCTAATATTTTTCAAAACAGACTTTGTGTTAATATTTAGTGGAGCAACTGATATATAACAGAGTATGTAAACTGTGTATAATTTATAGCAAAAGATCATGATTAAAAATTTAATTTCCCACGCAATATTGTGAGGTCTTACTGTTCAACAACTTTAATTCTGCAGTGGAAGAATGTTTTAGATTATTTCTAGCTTGCGTTTTATTTTACAGTTGGATGTAAATGATTATGATTTATATAATAATAGAGAAGGAACTTCATATAAGTCATCTGGCTTTGATTGTTACTAAAAATAATTCCTTTGTGTGTGTTATTGGAGAAGATAAAAAGTCGTATCTGACACCTGCATTTTTGTGTTTGTGCCAATATTTGCAGAAGCAACATTTTCTTTTGTTTCTATGGTATTTTTGTTTTTAATGCACAGTTTGCCAAGCTGGTGTCTTACAAAACTGTCTCATACGGCTACAGCTGTCTTTTTATTTGCAAATGTTAGTAATATAAAAACTATAAGCAGAAGTTACATTTATTTTCCAAGCACCATAGAAAAGTATACACAAAGTACTATTTGGTTTAAGATTTTAATCTAGGAAAGTCGTATTTCCTCCAGTCAGCACTCGCTGTCTCTGATTTCCACCTACCTTGCATGTTTTTCACATGGTATGGGACACTCACATCCTTTTAGTCGAATAGCTCATTTTCAAGCAAGGCTTTTGTTGGTGTACGGTATCAGCAGACGTGGCTGGACAAAAGACTTCATTTTGAGGGGACGATGATTCAGTACTGCAGGGAGTGGGGTACATGTAGACAGCAGTTCCACAAAGCGTCTGGGTACTGGAAAATAAGTTGTCTGTTCTTTCTTGCCATCAACAGCCTGCTTTGGATCTACTGAAAGCATCTTCTTAGTAAAATGAGGTAACTGTGATGGGGGCCATGGACTGTTTTTACTTACCAGAAGGTCTGGGCAGCTCTTTCTGTATTTGCACATAGGGAACAAACAGATCACAGGCTCTGGTAGAGATTGGCATGCCGGGCTGGGAGAAGTCATGCAGACCTTGGTCACTTTGTTTCCCTTTTAAGGGGAAATCAAGTTTTGGTAGAAAATAAATACTCTTTGCAGTTGCTCTTCTGTCCCCCATTCTTTTTGTACTTTGATAATTTTTCAGTACTGCTTGATAGTCGCTCACCTTATTCACCAATTTACCTGCTGTCTTCTTCAGTGGCCTTACCTTTTTCCATGAAGACATCTTTCCTGAGCTAACTTTAGAGAGCGCCGTTTTCTTCTCCAAAATTAACTTTTCCGGAAAGGCTTACCACCATTGCTTCCGACTAAGCAGGCAGGGAGGTGTGATAGTTGCCTTCAGAAGATAAATTTTGGTCTGGAGAGGCCATTGTCTTTTTTGCTGCATGTACAATGTCTAGATTGTCAAATGGCTGTAATCTGAACTAAGAACGATAACAGTGTCCAGAATAACCCTTCAGCCCTGGTTGCTTTGAGTCGGACATGGTAGGATTGAACTGTTCTTATTAAAAACAGGAAAACATGTATAAAAACATATATAGTTGTTAATATTTTCTGCTTTTTTTTTCATTTCAAACTTTCCTTGCTTTCTTCATTGTAAATTCTCTAATCTGGATTGCATTTGTAATATTATCACGCCTAGTAAAGTCAGTCCCCAGTTGGAACTTCTGGTGAGACAACATTAATGCTCTCTACAGTTTTAAATAAAAGTAATTTATATGTACTCTGTGTGTGCTTACAAATCATGAGTTTAATCATGAAAACTGATTTGTGCTAATCTTGTTGACTTCGATGAATAGAATTAGTTGAACCTGTTTGAACTTAATGAATTTTCCTCTCTTACAAACTCCACCATAGTGAGTTTTTAAGGAATCCAGTCTGAAAGATAGTGTTTCATTTACATTTTTTAGCTATTCTGATTCAATAATAACAACTTACTTGTGTAGTGTGATTCCTGTTTCCGATTTCCAACCTGTGGTCTTGTGGTCTTGAGTTTCTTGGATTTATTTAAGTGGACTTTTGACAGGTACCTAGTAACTTCAGCTTCATATCAGATGACTCACATTTACAACAGACGCTTGCACCTCCACTGGGCTATTTCTAGGCATCTGCAAAATGAAAAAACTTCCAAAGCGCTGCTTCAGGATGTCGCTTACTCTGCATCTGTGCAGCGTTTTCATGCTGTGTTTCTCACAGCAGCATTTTGGTGCATTCTCCTACATGTCTGTGCAGTTTCTTTGCATCTTCTTTGCAACTTTTGCCACCTCAGTATCATAAAAACTCAAATGGTGCTATTTCCCCGATAGATGCAGTGCTGTTTGCCAGGGTTATGCAGTGAGCTCACAGGTGTCGGAACTTTTCCTTCACTGCTCTGTCTCCTTGACAGTGTCTGGTGAAAACACAGATGATTTTGTGATCCTGTGAACTAACCTGATTTCTTACTCTGTCTGTGTCCTTGCATAGATTTCTCCAGTATTAATGTTTTTATTATGTTTTTATAAGTTACTCCCTGCAGCCAGACTTCATAAAAGCTCAGATTCTGACCCAGCCAGACTTCATACGCCTCGGAACTGGGTATATTTTAAAGGCTAGGATACAGAGCTGTGAAGGTTAAATGGGCTTAGGGAATTTAAAATGGAAAAAAATTTTAACTTTTGTCTTAGTAAAGGGCAAAGTCTATATGTTTTCACATCAAGATTGTCACTGGACCATTCAAACAACAGAAAAAAATGTTTTAAGTTGTTGAGATGTTTTAACCATTTTTGAAATATTTCATAATAGTAATCAAATACATGTTTGTGAGCTGAAACCTTGTGCCAAATTATACATGGGAGAAATACTCCTTTCTGTACAGTTTACAATGCTGTTAGTGGAAATCTGTAGGTTCTGATCAAAAATATCCTTGGCTAAGAATTGCCAATGTAAAGTGATTTTTAAGATCACTTATCACATTAAATCAAGAAATAAACAGGCCAGTTGTAGTTCCTGCTTAGGGTTTTCTTTGTTTGTTTTACTAGTAGGGAGGATTTGATTTACTCTAACTGTGCAGTTTTGGCTTCATCAGTACTAACACTAACTACACCAAGAAATTACCAAACGAGTTTATACCTCACCGCTGCCGTTCTTTTAAATTGAACGTGTTGACTGCATTCATCTGGCTGTAATGCATTTAAAGGCTTCGTTAGTCCGAGAGTAGCACTGCAAAGGGGTCATGATTGGTTAACCTTTCGGCTGGATTTCATAGCCTGGTGCGAGCAGTAACACGGAGGGAGGCTTTTGGTTTTCAGGGGATAACGGAACGATTCACATCGTATTAGACTGTGAAATACCTGTGGGTCAGTGGTGTTGGTTTGTGCCCAAGGATGCTTGAACAAGCCTGTTTGGATCTACTTGTGATACTGCCTGAATTACCATGAGCGGGATGCCCTGTTCTTCTGGGGGTGGTTCAGGGAGTGGACAGACTTTGCACTTCATTACGCCAAGTACTGCCATCGTAAGCAGTGATGTTACTTGCACAGTGGTACAGGCCAGGGCAGAATTGCTTATAAAAATAGTTCTAGGGCCAAAATGTTTGCTTTGGTTAAGAACTAATGGAATAAGGTACCTGCTTGAGTCACTTTTTGAAAGAAACCGCTATTTTTAAAGAAAAATACGACTTATTGGAGAAGTAGTATTTAGTTGTTGATGTTTATCAATCACGCTTGCTGTTGCGCATGTTTGTCTTCACTGAGGGTCTTCCCATTTTTCTTCTGTTTAAAAGGCACTAGGTTGATATTTCAGTCTGAGTCAGAAGCTGCATTTGCAAGTTCTGTAACAGATTTTGGATGCTGTTGAATAACACTGGAATGCCATTTTACGACATCTTTAAATAAAGATGTCACTGTCCTGTTCTGAGCGGTAGTGCGGTCTGTGCAGCTGGTACGTGGCACGGGATTACTAATGCAGCAACACCTTCGTTAACAACACTGGGCGTGGTGACAAGATCACACCGAAATGCACAAAAGTGACTGGAGTTTCTGCCCTCTAAGCTGAGCTGCGGTGGATGAGTATGTGTGCTTGTTCTTAAGTTATAGCAATGCAGAGTGTAACAAGTTACCTCACTCGTAATGTTAGACGTCTGAAGCCTTTGGTAGTAATTTAAGCCCATTTTACTCTGTGTTTGTAATGGCTTAAGAATGCTTGTATTGCATTATGTGTTTCAGCTGAGAGGGACAAGTGCTTGTCATCGTCTGACTGTATCCATCTTTTGATTTCATGAAGTTCCTCATGCCGTCACTGGGAAATACCTCATTAACTATCTTTGCCTCTTCCCAGAGTTTTTGTTAGGGAAACAAACACCAGGGCGTTTGAAGTAGGAGGGATGTTCGCACAGAATCAGAAATTTCATGTCATGACATTTGGTTCAAAACAAGGATGACATTCCTGACAGTATTTTAAGGTGTAGGATCCTTGACCTTGGTTACTATAACTAGCTTTTAAGCAGGAGGCCTTCTCTAGCAATCTGTAGGAACTTAGAGTAGCATAACCCATGCACCGTGTTTTCTAGAAGGATCTTTAGGCAGAGATTGTAAGAGACTGTTTCAACAGTTGACCAGTACAGAAATGCTTATTCCACTTCTTGGCAGTGAGTGTTAAGACAAAGGTGTTGCTGCCTGTGTTCTGACTCAGACTGAGGGATGAGACTACAACGTGAGTATAGGACCTTGAAACCCAGAAGAAGGAAAAAAAAAAAATCTCTTTAACATAGTAAGAAGCTCTTATGGAGCAGTGTATAAATTTGCTTTGTATAAATTAATATAACAGTAGTGGCCCTACAGTATTTTCAATTTTTTTCTTAATATATATTCAAAGCATAATTTCTAATTCTTGTATATATTTTTAACTTTCCCACAGATATGCACTTATTTGGCCATTATCCAGCTCATGATGATTTCTATCTTGTAGTGTGCAATATCTGCAATCAGGTAGTCAAGCCACAGGTTTTCCAGTCACACTGCGGTAAGTGAATGTTTTCTTTCCTGAATTACAGTGCCAAACTGGCGTATGGTTCTCTTAAGAATCATTGCATACAATCATGACAGCGGCATTGCAAATATACTTCTCTGGTTATTTTGTGTTCTTTCCACAGAAAATACCAGTGATGCCTTCAAATAAGCATATTTCCTTTAGAGGAAGTTCAGTTAGTTCTTCTAGTAGCTGGGCTTTTCAAGTTGAACTTGTTATACTAAATTAACCTATTACAACAAATAAATCCTGTTAGATACTAGCTAGGCTAAAACTATTATGACATAACATTGGATTGTCTTTTATCAAAGCTGCAAAGTGAGGGCTGTGATACTGATCTGTGTTATCTGGAAGTTGGATGTTATGGATTGTTTTCTGATGGGATTTATGCATAGGTGTGTATAGGATTTATTTTTGTATCTATCGTAGCATTTAATTTTTTACATAATTGGCATGTTGAGTCACATTTGTTAAGATTCACTTGAAAAATGTTAATCTGAGAAGCTGCAGAACTGTGCAGATACTTATTTCTCAATTAGTATGACAATAGCAAGATGGCAATTTTTATGTTGATTATATGTAAGCAGAACTACTTTAATTATAAAATTTTGCTATTAACAAGCTACTGTCAAATATTCTCTGAAACTTCATCCCAAAGTCTGTTTTATTTATTACTTATCCAGTGGTTTGTTTCTGTGGTGTTTTGTTTTTCATAAAGGGTTGCAAAATGTGACTGGGATGGTTAGCTTTACATGAGGTTTAATCAACTTCAGTTTAATCAAATTAATTTGAAGGTGATTGCATAATAATGAAAGGTAGCTAGTACTGAGGATGTAATCAATTAAATACATTATGAAAAAAAAAAAAAAGACCCACAAATCCTGTGCCCCTTTCAGTTATCCTGACAGCAAAGCAACTCGGTAAAGGGAAAATGTAAGTGGGCTGAACCAAATATAATATCGAAAAGTTTATTTACTTTTAAAGAGATATTACAAAAATATTACCTTGGGTTTGTATGGATGGACTGCTAACAACCAACCAGGAGCAGTTGCGTTCATGTTGAAAGGCAGTTGTACGACTCATCACTACTTTTAGCCCAGATTGAAGTAACTGTGAAAAAATGGTGATAGTGGAGTATAGCATTTGTATCCAGTGAATAAGAAAAGGTCTGAAAGTATTAGTATACTGGGAGAAGGGCTTAATAATTTAATGGTGGGGGCTGATGTTAATTTCAGTGTTTCAACAAGCCGTCCTGCTATTTTTTTCAAAAGTTGTTTCTTTCCCTTAGTCTTACGTGGTTTCTTCCTGCCCACCTTCAGGTATCTTATGGTTCTTTCAGTGGCAGAAAAGCTTCTCTACATATGGTCATAGGTACAGTGGGTACCATAAACATTGAAGTGGTGCATTAATAAATGATCCACGACAGAACAGAAGAACCTATGTAACACCTTGCTATAGCCTTCCAGAGCTGTGCTGTTTCCTGGACATGACCTTCTGGTTTGAGGAGCAGTATGAAAGTTTGTCCTGTTTTCATGTAGGAGGCATATAGAATGATGTTTCTTCTAGATGAGAGTAAAGTAATCCATGTTAGAAGGAACTTTTTGAGCTCTTTGGAAGTAACGAGTTACCATCATTGTTAGTGTGTTGCCTGTAAACTGCAAAGATTCTGTGAGTCACTGTCCTCTTTTTTTCTTCTTCTCTTTTCTCCATTATGCCATTATTTATACAATTCTTTTTCCTTCATTTTCATTATAGAAATCCTGTTACACTGAACAATTGAGCTAATAAGAAATGAGTAAGATCTAAAGAAGAGCTTCACATGGATCTTACTAATTGATTTGTAGTTGCATTGTCTGGTGAGAAAATGATAAAAATCTTGCATTAGAGAACAGATCAACCGTGAGCTGCTTGTGGCTGAATAATCTCTTGCCGGATATGTTATGGTATCAGTAGTCCATTGAGAAAGGTCAGGAGAAGGCCTCCTTTGAGACATTGGTTCTGGCTGCCCTGGGCTCTTCTGTGAAGTTTTGTTTAGAGTTTTATCACCTGTTGGACACGATCAGTTTGGATCAGAATTTGTTTAATTAGTTAGGCCATGCAGCAGTATACCTGTAAATTCATTATTCAGTGATACTGAACACACCTGTCAGTAGACTTTGAGATATTGTAGGCTATTATATTTACCATAAAGTGCAGTATTTTACATGTCTTGAATTGCAGCTTTGAAGTTGTAATAAAGACAATGGAATAAGGAAGCATTAGAAGCCACTACTGGGTTTTTTTGGCTCTTGAAGGCTGTGTCACAGGGAGTCTTTATTGCTAGTGACAAGGACTTGTAGGGACCTGTCCTCGAATCTCACCCAAAGTGTGGTTTGTTACTAATAGCTCTGGTAAAATCCAGTCCATATTCTCTCATTAAGGATTTAGGTCCATGCCAGACATGTGCTTTATGTTTCTAGGTTCCCTGCATTGTGACTTGAAGATCTTGGCTTTGAAGCAGCACTAGAGCGCTTAGTTTAGCGAATGTTTTTGTAACACTTCTCTTGAGCTGTTGCTGGCATTTGCCTTTCTCCAGAACATAAGAAGACCCACTGTTTCCTTTGTCTCTAATTTCAGACATGTGGCAGCCATCCTTGATGGCATTGGGAAGTTATGAAGACTATAGAGGCAGATGTTGTTATTTAACTTTTAAGGGTGTGAGTCCTGTAATATCAAGCAGAAAAAGAGAAAAACTTGGTTGCGCTTCAGGCTTTTTTAATGTGAGGCGATGCATCATACAACCTTAGACCAGTAGAAATCAGGAAGGTAAAAGAAGAGATCTAACTAGCAGACTAGCTTGCTGGACTTGAGAGTCTTTGTAATAAACACAGCATAAAGCTCAGTGTTGCAAAGTAGATATGTTCTAGCCTGTATGTCAGAGAAATACTGAATTATTTTTAAGAGCAGTTCCACATCCTTGTATCTGTGGGATAAACATTTATATCCATTTGTAAGGATTAAACTGTTCATGTACATATGGTATATGCCCAACTGAAAGAGAGACTTGCTGTTATAGGCTGCTAGATAAACTATAGAAATCAAATAATTTTTTTAAGTCATTCAGTATTATAGTGCACTTAGAAAATAGTATATCATAATGTCATCAACAATAGGGCTGAAATAGTGTTGTTTGCTTCTGAAGCCAGTTCGTTTGAGTAACTTGTTGCAGTGGTACAATATCTTAGATTTATTTTTTTTTAAATGTGTGGACATGTAGTTGTATTTATTTCTCCATGAAGCAGTTTGAAATGACAAGTGAGTCTAGTTATACAGCCTGTAGCATTTCTAAGTGTACTTGGCAGGGGGGGAATTTTAGTTTGGAGACTTTGTTCTCAAATGCTGACCTCAGTGAAGATATAGAGCACTTCTTGGGACACCAGAAAAGTAGTGTTTTAGTATCCCTGAAGTACCATAACGTTCTTGCTGTTTGTTTGGGTTTTTTTCACCAATGTAACTGTTTTCTAGAAGATTTTTAGGGTGATAGTCTATGCTGAGCTCTGTCCATATGATTTCTGTTAACTCCAATTCTGTGACAGTCTGTTGCTTGTTAAGGTGGGACCCATACCACTTCCTAGGAGACGTTTCTGTTTTCCTGTGGCCCCAGAGAGAGTAAAGCTTAATATTCTTATACTGCATTGTCCTTTACTAGACTAAAGAGCATCAGATACAGTTCTAGTTTGTTTTTGTTTTGTGGTTTGTTTTTTTTTTTAAGTTCCATACAATAAAAGGCTTGTGAACTTTGTTTTTTTCCTGTTGAAAGGAAAATCTCTTCTAAAGGTAGCTCTGGCGCACAGTGAAGAGCAAGCAGTGTACACATAAAGGGCTTGTCAAAACATCTTGACTTTTTCTTTTAATATGAGGAAATAAATTAATGACGGGAAAGCGTTAAAAGTAAAGTTGGGGGAAAAGGTGAATTAGCCAAGCTAAATAATGCAGCTTGGTTAAACAATAACTGCAGTATAACCATGGAAGAAAGTTTCCAAACATACTCTGGAACAATTTCCAAAACTGTGGAGGGTATCTTAATGAACTGAATAGTTAAGATCCCCATTTGATGAAGTTGTAGCATACAGAGGAGAACAATTTTGCTTTGTCAAGGAGAAATGACCATGAAGATCTCTTTTGCTAATTCCCTTATTGGAGGCTCATTGCTATCTATCCTGCCTGTCTCTAAGGTTATTCTAACAGGCTTCTAATTAAAAAGTAGAACTTCTTATTCCTTAAAAAAGAAAAAAATTACCCTTGATTTTCATTACTTCTGAGTTATAAATCCTTGGGTTGACATACTCATGTCCTCATGAAAGTTGGAAAAGGATATTTCCTTTTTATGCTTCTGTTTGTCTATACAAGCATCATTTAAAAGAAAATCAAGCTAGAAAGTAATGGAGTGCTGAAGAATATAAATAAATTATTTTCCATATCACAATTGTTTTCCTAAAAGAGGTTATATATTTTGAATTACTCAGACTAGCTGTTTTACATTGTACTAGTTGTGCGTTACAATTTAATGAACCACAATTAAAAGACAAGAAGGCTGAGCTTACAGTATGAATAAGAATGATTTGCTTTCTTAACGTGAGCTGAGACATTACTAGCAGACATCTTTTTTTACATAAGGATTTTGATATGGGTATCACTGTCACATTTGATGGATTACTCTGGTTTGATTTTTTTTTCAATTATTCAGTGCCTTGTTTTTTATCAAATACAAGCTGTTTGGGGTTTTGTAATTGTTAATATTTTATCCATTGCATTTGACCTTTTATCAGGGGAGTGCTCTTGTGCCCTTCAAGGACAATGGCATTTTGAGCGATTCTCCTTCTGTTACTGCTATTTTCTTTTTTCACAGCCTTGTCAAAACTTGTTATATGATATCATTATTGATTGAATAACTTCCTGGTTGTCACATGGTTAGGTTTCACTGCGTAAAAGAATTAAAATAATGAAAATTACTC